ATTCAATTCCAGTAAAAATCCCAATAAGATTTTCTTAAGTTTGACAAGTCAGGCTACAGTTTACATAGCACAGCAAAGACATAGAGAAAGCCAAAACACTCTTGAAGAAATAAATGAGAAAGGTGGACTTGTCCTGTCAAATATCAAGTATTATTATAAAGCTATAAAATTAAGGTTGTGTGGTATTGGCCCAAGGATTAACAAAATTACCAAATGAACAGACTAGAGAGTCCACTGGGAAAAGGAGAGACTATTCAATAAATAGTGCAGGGACACCATGGAAAGAAGTGCAATTTGTTTTTGTCTCCTACATATACAAATGTGTACGTCAGTTTCCTCTGATCACTCTTAGAATTGGGTACACTGTAACATGGTGGTATTTTTATCAGAACACCTGTCCGGTGTTCAGAAATCTAAATGTGCCCTGCCCGCTCACTTGATGGATTCTTCTGTGACTTTTTTTTTTTTTTTGTCTTCTTCCTTAACTGTTCTGTGTAGTTGGTGGCAGTGAACCTTTCCATTCCTACTGGGAAACGTACCTGGCCAAGGGTTTGCTGCTGATCTTTGTGGTGGATTCAGCAGATCACAACCGATTGCCTGAAGCGAAGAAATACCTGCATCAACTAATTGGAGCAAACCCAGTCCTTCCTCTAGTTGTGTTTGCAAACAAACAGGTAAAAATCTGTGCAAATATAAATTGTACTCAATAGTATGTTTATTAATATAAGAAATGTCTACTTTTGATGGGTAGGTATTCAACAATATGCTATATATTCAATTTATATTTATTTGATACCCTGGATTATAAACTCCTTGAGAGTAGAGACTATTATTCATCTTTGCGTTCCTTGTAAAACCTAGTCTACTGCCTTGTGCATAGTAAGAATTCAACAAATGTGTGTTTAACTTACTTCATTAAACATATATTGATTGCTGAATTGAATTCAACAAAATAGTTGAGTGGCTACCTTGTATAAAGAAATTGTTTTGTTTTAGATCAGTTAGACCTGAATTTATTTCACACATGCATTAAAGACATTAAACATGCACTGTTGGTGGGAATGTAAAATGATGCAGCTGCTATGGAAAACAATGTGGTGGTTCCTCAGAAAATCAAAAATAGCACTTCTTATGGATAATGCTTAGAAAAATAAATAAATTTTAAAAAATAAAAAA